GGGATCAGGCTGGGCTCAGACGTTCTCAGCATCACCCCAGCAACTTCATGTGTGTTTGAAGCTCCATTTCTCCCTCCCTATCCACAAAGTATCCATCCCAGGGAATCAAAATCTGTGGGTACCAACACTGCGGGATGCTCGGGCAGCATGCTTGCCCAGAGTCCCTGCACACTTTGCTGTGGAAGCTCCATGAGCTCTGGCTACTTACAGCACAGCAGTCCAGCGCCCAAGTGTGTGAGGAGGCGGCACACTGCACTGTTGAGTAACTAAACGACAAGCCAAGAGGCTATAGCCCATCCGAGAGGAGGAATTATCGCTTTAAATACCTTCTAGCCTCAGCTGAATTTGCACACTCAACCCACGGATACTGATATACAGGGAGGGCAAGGTTTCAAAATGTAAAATAGTCCTAGAGCCAAGGGATTCTGATTTATGCAATCTGCTGGTGGGGACAAGGTGTGTGACAGCTCTGATTGGGAGACCCCCTTCTCTGGCTTCCTCCTCATCCAGCTTGTGTTGGACTAGGGACAACAGGAAGGCTCTGTGGTTGTTAGTTGTGGAATGAGCAGCTCACACTGGTCTCAAACTCTGCCTCAGCCTGAGGCACCAGGCATGCGCTACCATACCCAGCAAACAGTTAAGTCTCTACCGTGTGTTTACATGTGACTCTTGCTGGTGGGAGGTCTAGGACACACATGGAAACCAGGAGCCCTTGTTGGGGATCTCCCCTGGAGCAGCCAAAGAAAGCCCACCAAGCAGCGGCTCCACCCTGGGAGGGTATTTAAGGTCTGGTCCACAAACGTCCCCTAGTGGGTCCCCCTTGTGGTTTATCCTCCTCCCATGGGACCACCAGGGGATGCTTTGCTCAGATTAAACCTGGACTTACTAATTTGGCCTGATCTGATTTGTTGCCTCAGTGGAGAGACCCAACACCGGGGTACAGAAACGTTTTATCCCTGGCATCACTGAGGTGAAAGTGACCAGCAAGAGAATGATCCAGACAGAGGCAAGGAGAGGGAATGAGGGTAGAGAGAGAGAGTTTTGGAGCGGCTTCTTGGAGATTGGATGCAGTAAGTGGCAGCTGCAGAAACCAGGGCTTCAGGGACACCTGTGGACCATTTTATCTCCAAGCGGATAGCTTTTCATGCCTACAAAGCAGACGCCTCAGGGCCTTGTGGGATGCTGCAGGGAATGTGTACAACAGAAACCTCCTAGAGCCTAGAGTTCTAACAGAGGTCCAGATGCCAAGCAGTTCCTGGGTCTGATGGGTCAGCGCAGGGACAGGCACCAACACCGGCACCTGGAGAGTCAAATCCTTTGGGGCATCCATATTTCCTGCTGGAGAAGCCACCCCAAGCCAGCGCTCCTCACAGGTCTCTGAATGGTCCTGTGGATCAAGCTGCCAACGTCTGTGGGGTTGTGTGCCTCTCCTCCCCCTCTTCCAGGGGTAATGAGCCTTGGCTTCAAGCCTCATTAAACCCCATTATATAATCAGCCCCATCCAGGGTATCTTTATAACCCCAGCAGTTGCCTTGGTGGGAACACGGCCGTTCAGCTTCATCACCCTTTACTGCCACCTGCTGCCTCCACCCCCACCACACCGGGATCTGACTCAGCGTCCAGGTAAGCACAAGGTTAGGTTCCTGGCTGGTGTCAGCTCCTCCCCTGTTTCCAGGACAAGGGACAGGAATTGCTTATAGAAGTGGTGCTCACAGGGGTTGGAGGGACAGCCCCAGAGAGGGCATCTTCCAAGATATCAGCTGAAGGGGACTGCTTCCTTGGCCCTGGGATATGACTCCAGCTGCTACCATAATGACACTGATGGGGACATCGTAAAGATAGAGCCACTTGTTTTCTTTCGCGACTGCTGCCCTGAAGGGCTGGAGGGCCACAGGCAGCTAACACAGAAACTCCCGGAACTCTTTGAGAGGACTAGGTCATTCCTCAGCTTCGATGGAAGACACTCAAGATGAATGAGTAGCAGAAGCTGCCAGAAACTGGCTTTTCAACCACTCTTCAGCAGCTGCCTGCCCGCCTCAGGGACTGCCACCACCTGGACCCATGGAGGCAGTGAACATAAACAGCAGAGCCCAGGGGCGGGGAGAGGGAAACACGTGCAGACAAAGAAGCTTCTTCCACAAAACCACCGCACAGCTCCCCAAACCAGGAAGAAAGCAGAAGGCAATCAAGAAGCAAGAGGGACGATGAAGGTGGCCTTGCAGAACGAATAATCCGCCCCTTCGCTGCTTTCTGGACCTTGTGACCTGTGACCAGGTCCTTAACCTCAGCCTCCATTTCTTTATCCCTGAAGAGGGGATAATAAACGTCTCAACATTATAGAGGGTTGTGACGTAGAAATTAAACAAGGGAGAGGGCTTTAGACAAGGCCTTTGTCACCACACGGTGAGTGCCGATGACTCTTGGTACCATTCTCATCTCTATCACTGTTTCAGACCACTCCATCACATGACACACACCAATAGCTCCCCATACTCCCCTTTACTGAGTCATGGAGCACTAAGCACCAGCTCCCATCCCTTCCTCCTTGTGGACTGTAACACACTCTGAAGTAGATTGTTTAAGGGTCTTTCGACACAGTCTAATCTACAGCAGTTGGGATTGAAGACAACGGGACAAAGAGCCACAAGTCCATGGCTTGCCACGCTAAAGATGTGTGCACGGAGGATACCGTCAGACATGCTTGAGCAACACAGGAAGGACACAGGCTATCCCTGGCATGTGACAGTTAACAGGTCACGTCAAATGACGGCAGAAAATCATGTTCACACAGACGGTCTTTCCCGTCACAGGGAACGATATAAGTGACTCGGAAAATAAGCTTTGGGCTCAGTGATTTTGCCCAGCTTCAGACTAATGGATGTGTTCTAGTCCATTAAGACATACTGGGTGTAGCGCCTCTAGGAATGCCTGGATGAGATTCTCTAAATGGAGCCTGGGTGTAACTCTAGCCGCTAGGCTGTGGGACTCAGTACGTTTGCCGTATCTGGTGTTTCTCAAGTCCTGGCATGCTCTACTAATGGTGGACTTATCAGGACACACCCCATCATAAGCTGAGGCATGGACAAATGACATCTTACATCTTGGCATATCTGAGCTGACCCGTGAACACCATTGGTTGGCGAGCCTTGGTGTGACTTGATTCCTCTGCCAACTGGGACTCTCACTCCCTCCTTTGTCCTGCGGGACACCCTGACAACAAAGGAGTAGGGTAAACACTCATGGAGATAGAGGATTCCTGTACCCAGAAGCTGGGTGCCCTGGGGTCCCGAGACCCTGCCCCTCCAGCCAGCTCTGACCTGCATCTCCTGGTGTCACTACCAGGGATAAGAGGATGGTGTGTTACCATCCTTCAAATTACACACTGGGACCAGGACAGATGGTGACCAATGCAAGCCCAGGTGGGCCCCAGCAACATGGCCCAGGGACTCTCTGGGCTGGGTCTGCAGGAACAAAGCAGGCACCAAAGCCCCAAAGCCAGGAGTGATGGGGACCAGGGAATATGGCACGCAAGCAGGAGCTAGCGTCTGGAGGCTGAGTTCTTTTCTAATCCCAGTGCTCTAATGAGTCCAGTAACTGTCTCAAGTCTCTTGTTGAATAGATGAGGAACCTGAGACCTGGATAGAAGAAGAAAATTCCTGCCTGGGAAATACAGAATGAAGGCTCAAGTAGGGCCAAACTGAAGGCAAAACATGGGACAGATCATACACCCTGTGGGCCTCGGTCTCCCACAAAATCCAGTGCTTTCCTGTTCCTTCAGAGGAAGTCAACGACAGCCTCTATATACAAACACCAGGATTATCCAAAAGGTAGCCATGCTCCCAAGAGCTGCCTTTTAAGTCTTGTTCTGTAGCCCAGGCTAGCCTAGAACTTATTTTGTAGCCCAGAGTGGCCTAGACCTTGCTATGTAGCCCAGGCTGTCCTATAACTAGCTATGTAGCCCAGGCTGTCCTATAACTAGCTATATAGCCCAGGCTGGCCTTCAGGCTCCCAAGTGATGGGATTATAGGCATGCATGCTATCATGCCCAGCTCTGTGCTGCTTTTTAACAAAGTCTTTTCTGTTGCTGACCCCAGGCTAGCAGACAAGGCTGTCCTTCATGTTGGAGACCAAGGAAAGGGGAAACCTGGGGGACTGCAGTGGGACAGAAAAAACAACCCAAATACAATTGGTTTGTTGTTGTTTTTGTTTGTTTACACAGATAGATGTCTTCACTCTGGCCAGAACCAGTGCTTCTAAAAGCCAACATCCCCCGTCCCCCAAACAAGCATCCTTGCTGGAGGAGGAGCTGGGCTCACGTCCCTGAGTCCCCTCTGCCTGCGTCTGCACCTTTTAACAGAGAGTGCCTCAGGATAAGATCAGAACTTTCTGGAAACTCGTCCCTCTGCCACAGGAACTTCCATCTGTACTCAAGTCGTTAGCACCATGTATCTGGCAAGAGTTTGTGAATGTGGACCGTACATTCCAGGCCACACTTAACCCGGCTTGAACTCCAGTACAGCATCGAGATGCAAAAGCTATACACGTTGACCCCAGTTATCACATGACGCCATCACAGACCTCACATGGCCAGATAAACCCTAAGACAAATGGTCGAAAGGTGGTGGAGAGCACAGAGAGAAAGGTGGTGGAGAGCACAGAGAGAAAGGTGGTGGAGAGCACAGAGAGAAAAGGCGAACATTCCCTCTAATGCCCCGCCCCCCGCCTTGCTTTCAGCATTCCGTCATCACTGCCAATCAGAGAGCTGATACTGAGGATGCCTAACTGCCAGTCACCTCCGAGCGCCAATCACGCTCCCTTCAAACCGTCTAAGGACCCAGGAGCTGTACATGTGGGAGGGCGGTGTCAGGTGATGGACTCGTGAGATTCAGAATCAGGGTGAAGAGCACAAAATGCATGCACCTGTCAGGGAAGGTAGCCGGCTGCGCGGTGATGGTCTGGTGACCCCAGCCAATGCAGCCTAGGGGCTAGCGGGGACTTACTTGCAGAGAAATTGGCCTCCGTGTGGACGGGTGGGGTGGAGGGCAGAAAGGGTGCGTGGCCCACGAAGAAGGACCGCAGGGAGCGCTCCGACAGGAGTGGGGACCGCTGCTGGGCAGGGATGTTCTCACAGCTGCCCACACCACTGTGGATCTTGAGGTTCAGCGGTTTGCTTTTCTTCTTGGCTCTGAAAGAGAAGCGGACCAAGGAGACAAGATGAGTCTGTCTGAGCCATCTACACAGTCAATATAAACATTGTCCACCTGACCATGGCTGGGCACCCGTGAAACACAAGCACAACCTATACTAGCAGACTCCAAGACTGCTAGAAAGAAACTGGGCATCTCTAAGTCTTCTAGAACATTCCCGTCAGTGAGGACTCTACCCAACACATGATCACTTGACATTTGACTTGACACTAACATAATCTATCTTTCGAGTAATATTTTATAGGCACCGTTGTGTGGGCTGATTTTTTGTCAACTTGACAGCAGTTACAGTCATTTGGAAAGAGAGAACCTCAACTGAGAAAATAGCCCAAGATTAGCCTGTGGGCAAGCCTTGGTGCATTTGCTTGACTGACAATTGATGGGAAAGGGTCCAACCTTTCAATGGGGGTGGGGCCATCCCTGGGCTGCTGGTCCTGGGTTCTATAAGACAGCAGACTGAGCAAGCCATGGGGAGCAAGTCAGTGAGCAGCACCCTCCATGGCCTCTGCATCAGCTCCTGCCTCCAGGTTCCTGCCTTGATTTCCCTCGGTGATAGATGTGATGTGGAAGTGTGAGCTGAATTAACCCTTTCCTTCCCAAGTTGCTTTTGGCCCTAGGGTTTTATCACAGCAATAGAAAGCAAACCAAGACACCATAAAATGTATACTTTTTTAATGTGAAAAAAAGATAAATAAGGTGAGGGGCTTAGCTTGGCTTGGTGATGCGCTACTGTAATCCAAGCACTTGGGAGGTTGAGGCAGGAGGATGATGACTTTGAGACCGGCTTGAACAACAGAGCAAAGCTCTGTCCTGAATAAGCAAAAGGAAATTCAGGACTCAGGATGATTTTTTTTATTCTCTTTTTTTCCCCCAGACAACATCCTTGTGAGCATCTCACTGGGAGGGATGGAGAAGAGGAGGAAGCCTTAAAGACCGAGGGCTCCAGCTGAGTGCCGATGAGCTCTGATCAGAGCTAAGTGAGGGTGTCTCTCAGAGCATAAGCACAAAACTCAGTGTCTAAACCTTGCGCTTCACCAGACAGGAGACTTGAGATTACTGACAGCATCAGTGGCAGTAACAGCAGCCACTGCCACTCTGAATTAAGTGCAAGCTGCATCCCAAACACCAAATCAGGGACTTTGGGGGTATCTCCTCGTTTAAGCCTTAAAGTTATCTTAGGAAGGACTTTGCACCCATGTCCTCTTTCCCCCGAGGAGGACACTGGAGAGAATGAGACAAAAGAACCTAGCAGAGGCAGCTCCAGAGGCCTCTCAAATGCGTCCATCTGTTCGTGACCCCCTGAGACCAGTCACCCCAAGGGACTACACTTCATGAGATCTGCTGCTTCCCTGCTCAACAGACTCCTACACATAGTCCATGATCCAGTCCAAAAGTGACCATATCTGTAACATTCTCACTCTCTGAGACGTCATTCTCCCCATCCTAGTGTCCCTCAATATTCTGAGGAACCCCCAGCTCCTGATCATGGCTCCCAACAGCCATCCTCCATATGAATTCCAACCCAGCAGCCTTCTCACCTTTGACCCTTCTGTCTCCACAGCCCAGAGTTCCCTCCTCTGCTCAGCCTCTTTGATCTCTGTCTTGATAACTCAGCTCTGGCACGTCTCTTTTTGGAACCTTCCTGGTAGCCCCAGTTCCTCCGAGCAGAGACAGGTGTTCTTCCTCCAGGAAAGCCTTCTCAGAAACCGCCCCCCCTTCCCCAGGCTGTGCTGGCTGTTTGTTTATTGTTTGTTTGTTTGTTTGTTTGTTCAAATGGGCATTCAGAATAAAGGCTGTGGTCCAGGGGCAGAAATCACACTACATTCTAAAACTCTGCCTTCCACTCCCAACTGCTTGCTCCCCAAGGACAGGAGTGAGACCACATCTCCTGCCGCCTTCCCACCCACCTCCCCAAACTCCCATCTGCCCAGCACGGAGCCGAGCGCCCTCTGGTGGCTTCTGCAGAACCTGCTTGCAAACTGCCAGTCCTGCAGGGCTCTAGGACTCCTTTGGGTACCATCTTAAAAAAAAAAGCCACACTCTGCAGGCCACCACACCTCTCTGCCTGCCCAGTCACCCCTCTTGCATCCCTGTGGCAGTGATCAATCCTCAGAGGCCTGCTGCCGGGCTCAGGCAGGTTCTCCCGGTACAGCGCAGCTCATATGTGGCATGTCCCTGCCTGGACTGGAAGTTGGAAACAGTGAGGTTCCTTTGCCTGGAACTGTCCAACAGTGGGATTTAAAGAGACATATGCATAAGATCAGCACACGGCTGCTGGGGACAGAGAGACAGGACTTGAGTCACCAGAAATGAGATGTCCCGTCTGGACAACGGAGAGAACCCTGGACCCCTTCCCAAAAGGCCACGTAAGACCATGAGGATCTATGAGGTAGCATGCTTGGCCCAGACAAGCCTACACTCCGTTTCCTGTCATGAGCACATCTGTACTCTGGTTCTGCCCAACAGTCACACAGCCAGGCAGGAACCCTAGAAAGAAACTGAGAAGTGAAGCCAGGCGGGGCTTTGCCTGAGATTCCTAGAACACCTCCCACCAGCCTTAGCCAGGAAAGGGGACAAGGGAAAACCCCTGAGCAAAACGCTATGATCACCCCCCCACCAAACACCTAGGGCAGCCTAAGGCACTGACAATGAAGTCATGCAAATTGGAGCAAGACTGGAGTGTACCGCATCCAAACCAGCAGCTCAGAGATGTCAGAAGTGATGTGGTTACCAATCCATAGTCACGGGAGCAGATAACTGTCAGACAGACAGATGGAAGAAAAGACTGGGAGAAAGGAAGGGGAGGGAGGAGAAGGAAAAGAGATGTCATGAAGAAAGAATGAAATGAAGGTTGGAGGGGGAAAGATGGTGATAAAAGAACAGACAAGGAAAGAAGAAAGGGGATAAAAGAGATGAGATGAAGGAATAACAGAAAGATGGAGAGGGAAGGAGGAGAATGAGTGGGTAGACAGATGAGCAGGTGGTGGGTGGAGGATGGATGGATGGATGGATGGGTGGATGGGTTAATGAATGAGTGGATGAATTTGTGTTTCTACATGAAAATTACGGCTTAGAAAATGGGGTTTTTGGAGAATATTAAAAAGATAAAAATAAAGAGTTAGCAAGAGGCTTGAAAAAAACATTTCTCTCAAGAAGACGTATGAAGACCCAATAAGCATGTACGGAGATGCTGAAGAGTTAATGGTGGAAGACACGAACCAAATGACAGTAAGCTACAACCCCAGTCTTCCTGGCCACACTCACATACAGGGGGCATACTACGTGCTGAGGAGGACATGGAGAATGGGAAGCCACCAGCATCACTGGAGAGAATGTGAAGGTGCCTGGCCATTATGGAAAACACTTTGGTTATGCTTCGACCATGTAAAACTAGAGTTTTATACAACCCAACAGTCTATACCAAGCTATACACCCAAAAGAATGGGAAATAGATCTTCAAACAAAAAGTGTCCCTGGACATTGACACTTGACACATTGATACATGAACACTGACAACCACCAAAGGGCAGGGGGAAAAAAAAACCCAAATGCGCATCATTGGGCGACAGAAGACAAATGTGATCTGTCTGGATAGTGAAACTGTTGCAATCTCACGATGTTCCGACTCATAGCCTAAAAACAAGTGAACCTCAGAGCTGTCACATCTCAGGAAGGAAGCCAGACGCAAAGGACCATGCATTCCAGTTCATATAAAACCACCGGAGTGGGCAAGTCTACAGAGATGGGCAGCAGGCTGGCACTGCCAGGACTGGAGAACAGGAGGGGGAGTGGGTGCAAGCACATGTGGAGGTGCTGTTTGCTTTGAGGTCATGGGGAGCCCTGAAAGTGGGCAGGGGTGGTAACTGCTGAGCCTTGAGGATACTAAACAACACCTAAGAGTGGCCGTTAAAGGGTTCAAATGACCAATGTGACAACACAGCCATTCATCCAATTAAAGAAACCATTCTAATGCTGCTTGTTGTGTGTATTTACCCCTTGAGTAGCTGTGTGACCTCTGTCAAGTGACTTAGCCTCTCTGAGTCCCAAGGACTTTGCTGTTACAAGCAACTTCTACCAGGGTGGTTTTAAGGAGCCAACAAGCGGGATGGAAATACTCCAGTTGGCTAGTGGTGAATCCAGAGGGAACTACTTGGGTTCTTCCTTTTGTCCTTTGTCAAGGAGTACTTTTGCTTCTAGATAGGGGGTAAAATCCTTCCTGTGGGGAGGCAGGTCAGCACTCAAAGCTGAGGAAAGATAGACGCACATCCATAAGGGAGACAAAAGACTTCCTTTTGCCCTGGGCACACTTATGTCTGAGAGCCACAGTGACAGGGAAGAGAAACCGCTCCTGTATGATGAGGGTAGGAATTGTCCTCAAATGAGACACTCAAGGTCAACCCTGTCCCTCAAAGTCCCCCCCTCCCAGGCTTAGAATGAATCACCCCCCAAATCCATATGTTGAGGTCCTTACCTGCCCCCCCCCACCAGATCTCAGAATGCAAAGGTGAAACGGGAGCCTGGGTCTTGAGAGTTACAGGAGCGAGGAATACAGCTCAGCGGGAAGAATGCTGGCCTGGCAGTCCTGGGTTCGAACCCAAGAATCTCATAAACTCAGCACAGGGGGATCGGGAGTTCGAGGTTGTCCTTGGCTACCCAGCAAGTTCAAGGCCAACTTGGAACACACAAAGACCTCATCCAGGAGGGAAGGAAGAAGAGGGAGAGAGGGAAGGAAGTATGAAAAGAAGACAAGCAGTAAGGTAAGATGAGGTCATAAGGATGGGGCCCTAACCCAGCAGGATTAGTGTCTTTCTAAGATGGATGCACATGCAGAGAAAGGGCCCCGAGGGGTCACAATGAGCAGGGGCATCACCTGAAAACCAAGGACAGAGGCCTCACAACAAGCCGACCTGCTGAGCCCTCCATCTTGACATCCCACCCTCCAGAATGAGGAAGGCCCTGCTATTCAGCTGTCTGCTTT